CTATTACGTGGAATTCTCCTTGCTTGCATGCTGTTTATGTATCAAAATCTGATGAAACTTCTTTATGGCACAAGAGATATGGTCACTTCAATTTGAAGTCTCTTAAGTTCCTTCAAACCAATGAACTTGTTAGAGACTTACCAGAAATTCATGTGAATGATGATGTATGTTCAAGCTGTCAATTTGGGAAGCTGCATAGACAAGTTTTGCCGATCAACAATTCATGGAGAGCAAGCCAAAAACTTGAGCTAGTTCATACAGATGTTTGTGGTCCAATGAAGACTGCTTTGCTTGGTCAGAATCTCTATTTCATTCTTTTTATTGATGATTACACCAGAATGACGTGGGTGTATTTTATGAGCAGCAAGGCACAAGTTTTCTCTGTGTTTAAAAAGTTCAAGGTACTTGTTGAGAACCAAAGTGGCTACAAAATCAAAACCTTGAGATCTGACAATGGAAAAGAATACACTTCAAAGGAGTTTGACAGCTTTTGTGAAGATGCAGGGATAGCACATCAGTTAACTGTCCCTTATACTCCTCAACAAAATGGAGTTTCTGAGAGGAAGAATAGAACAATTATGGAGATGGCTCGATGTATGTTGCATGAAAAGAAGCTGCCTAAGAATTTTTGGGCAGAGGCTGTTTATACAACTATATATTTGTTGAATGGTTTGCCTACTAAGGCTGTGCAAGGAAAGACACCTATTGAGGCTTGGTTTGGTGTTAAGCCTTATGCACATCATTTGAAAATTTTTGGCTCTATTTGCTATACTCATGTGCCTGATGCAAAGAGAACCAAGCTTGATGTTAAAGCTGAAATTGGTATTCTGGTGGGTTACTCTACAAAATCAAAAGGCTACAGGGTATACAACTTGCAATCTGGAAAAATTTCAGTTCACAGGGATGTACAATTTGATGAAGATTCTCATTGGGATTGGGACAAGAGAGTTGTTGTGAAAAATGGTGATATAGCCTCTGTCAAGGATGATGTAGAAGCTTCCAAAGAGGAAATTTCAGCTTCTAATGTAGCTGATGTTGATGCTCACCATGATTCCCCTGTTACGAAAACTAAATCCTTGTCTGAAATTTATGAAAGATGCAACCTGGCTGTTTTAGAACCCAACACGTATGCAGAAGCTTCCAAGCATGACATATGGAGGCATGCAATGCAGGAGGAGATGCAGATGATTACAAAAAATGAAACTTGGGAATTAACTTCCCTACCACCGGAAAAGAATGCAATTGGAGTCAAATGGGTGTTTAGAACCAAGATGAATCCTGATGGCTCCATTCACAAGCACAAAGCCAGATTGGTAGTGAAAGGATATGCTCAGCAAGCTGGAATTGATTATGGTGACACTTTTGCACCAGTTGCTCGGCATGATACAGTCAGAATGTTGATTTCTTTATCTGCTAATTTTGGCTGTACAATTTACCATGTTGATGTCAAATTAGCTTTCTTGAATGGCCATTTGCAGGAAGACATTTATGTGCAACAACCTGAGGGCTTTATTATTTCTGGTCATGAAGACAAGGTTTACAAGCTTAAAAAAGCTTTGTACGGGCTCAAGCAGGCACCTAGATCCTGGTACAGCAGGATTGATTCATTTCTCCTTCAACAAGGTTTTTAAAGGAGTGAAAATGAGCCAACCTTGTAAATTAAACGCAACTTAGGTCAGTCTTCCAAAGATACAACTTTTTCAGTTGAAAATTCTGGTTCAAATCCTTTTGTTTGTGATGCTGAATTGCTAGTTTCTTTGTATGTCGATGATCTGTTGATTACCGGTAGCAATTCACAATTATTGCTCAATTTTAAAGCTAATTTGATGAAAGAATTTGAAATGTCTGATCTAGGGGAGATGAGTTATTTTTTAGGCATGGAAATTCATCAATGTGAATCTGGTATATTTGTTTCTCAACATAAATATGCCCTTGATGTCTTGAAGAAATTCAGTATGGATCAATGCAAGTCTGTGCTTACTCCCTTAGTTCAAAATTCAAAATTAATTGCTGAAGATGGTTATGAGAAGACAGATGCTTCTATTTACAGAAGCTTGGTTGGGAGTCTCTTGTATCTTACTGAAACCAGACCAGATCTCATGTATGCAGCAAGCTTATTATCTAGGTTCATGCATTCTCCTAGTCAAGCTCATTTTGGTGTTGCAAAAAAGGTGCTGAGATATCTCAATGGAACTTCAGATTATGGTTTATGGTTTGAGAAGCATAAACATGGAATTCTGCACTGTTTTTCTGATAGTGATTGGGCTGGAAGTCATGAAGATGCCAAGAGCACAACTGGTTTTGTGTTCTTTTTTGGTTCTGCAGCTTTTTCTTGGATGTCTAGAAAGCAAGAAGTCGTTGCTCAATCAACTGCAGAAGCTGAGTATATTGCTGCAGTAGAAACCGTAAATCATGCAACATGGATTAACAAGATGCTAATTGATATGGGGTGTTATCAGCTCAAGCCTTGTGTTATCTACTGTGATAACAATTCTGCCATTGTTATTGCTCATAATCCTGTCCAGCATGGTCGTACTAAGCATGTCAATGTTAAATTTCATGTGCTTAGGAATATGGTGCAGAGTAAGGAAATTGAGATGGTTTACTGTCATAGTAATGAACA